AGACGCATGGAGCAAGCCCGCGGTTAGACTGTGATTGAACATGGTCGTTTGCTTTGCTGGCCATGGATCCTTTCGGATTGTCAGCACAATTCCACAGATTCCTGCTGATTAGACTAGGGTTTTCTCGAATTTCACCATCGGCCGCCTGTTTGGAGAACATAGTCACACCTTCTCATGCCCTCCTTCAGTTTGATACATCCCTCGGCTTAGGACGCGGGGCCTCCAGTTCTCTCAAGCGCGAGACTCGATGGCTGGTGTTTTTTTGCGTGCAAAGCACTCGTTTTGCCGTTTCACTGGGGCCTGCGACCTCCGCACCTCCGCTTTTGGGTGGGGGGCAGAGGTCAAGGCTTGCGACGCTTTGCTGGATCCTCGATCCCGTCCCAGCGCGTCCGCTCAAGGGCATCAGATGAGCGTGAATCGGAATGTGTGTGGATGCGTTGTGGGCTACGATTTTTGTGAGCGTTTGCTTTGTGCGCATGATTTGCTTTATCAGTTGGTTTGGCAATCGCCTGCCAAGTGGTTGCTATTAGTTGTCTGTCTTAGACGCCCCAGCCGTACAGATGACGCAGGCATGGATAGGGGATGCGGTTTCAGGTTGCACGGCAGAGGTTCTGGGGATCCAATCCCAGGTTGTGCTAGCACAGCACTGGTTTGAGCTAGGATGCATGATTTGGGTTATGAGTTATTGTAATTGGCCAATCTGACGCTCTCACCAATACGTTTGATGTGCTACCTTCTCGCGTACAATGAAGGGGCGAGCAATTATGACAGGTGTTTGTCATGCAGCCAGTTTGAAAATGGCTTGCCTCGGCCACAAACGTGGCACCTCACAGTGTGCGCTCAGATGGGAGGAGAGAGGAATGTCGACTTTTCTCGATCTGGACATTTCCAGAACCTGTGCTCAAGCGACATCTGCCAGCAGCTAATGATGTGTGGCAAGTGTAGTTCAGCAGCTGACTTCCGCATTGGTTTCCAGATGTCGGGCCAACGCCCAAACGAACCCGGAGCTGTTGGGCTCCAAGAGGAGAGTCTTACTTTGCCAGTCAGAGCTCACATGTGAACTGCCCACGGTGAACTACATCGCCGTTTTTTGTTTTCTCCGTCTTTTCCCCCGATGCGCGGCTCTCTCTCCATTTTGTCAAGCTTCAAGGCGATCCTTCCTTTCCGGTGGCCAAGCACAACAATTGGGAAGCTTTTCCAGGCCGCCTTCGTCGGGATGAGCATGCCCAGGGCCAGCTTTGCACGGGAGGGAGTCGTGGTATGCTTTTCGGTCGGTCAAGAGCATCCCCGAAGCTATGCTATTGGAGACAACAGAGTCACGAGTGCCCGAATTCCAGCCTGTGCCATTTGTTTGTTATTTGAACAGCGGCAATCAGGCGTGTTCCTCTAAAGAAGCATTCCACAAACATTCACCCACAACGTGGAGGACTTTCCGTTCTTCTTATTTGTGACCTGGCAATCTTTGTTGTGAGAGTCACTTTGGGCGGGAAACCCATCAGAAAGCATCAGAAAGCAAGACTCGCCATGATTTTCGGCGTGGCCTGCGGCTGTTTGAGCGGCCTTAGAAACAGATGCAGCGCGTGGCGCGTTGGAGGCTTGATTTGCCCGTCTATGGAAGGTGAATTGACCGGAACCGAGGGATGCCTTGGAGATTTCGGATGGTTCTCTTGATTACTTGACTTGGCCATGGGCTAACCGGACTTCCTAAATCAGGGCATCGCACGTAATTACGCATCAATAAGTTGCGATTGGTATGTGTTTAGCAGAGAAAGCAGCCTGCCAAAGAGTGTTACTGACTCGTATAGCACAGCACAGCCACTGCTCGTCTTCCTTCTGAGCTTGTTGAAGCAAGCAATTTGCCGCGCAAGCATTTCCGACCTTTACCTGCTGTGTCTGTATTGTTGAAGCACTATGTCCTGCTTTGCATGCATTTCCTACGCTTGAGAAGATGCAGCTGCGCCTGGAATAGGTGTGAGTGTTTGTGTGGTTTGGATGGATGGCTGGCTGGATGGATGGACGGATTGGTTGGTTGGTTCGTTTGAATGAATGAGTGAACGAACGGACGAATGAATTAATGAGCAAACGGTTGATTGATTGAGTGCCACATGGATGAATTGACTTGATTTGATTTTATTTGATGTGATTTAGTTTGACTGATTTGAGCGATCGATTGGATTGGATTGGAATCGATTTGACTCGACTCGATGATCTGGTTTGCTTTGCTTAGATTGATTGTTTAAATGAGTGAATGAATGAATTAATGAATGAATGAATGAATGAATGAATGAATGAATGAATGAATGGATGAATGAATTAATGCTGGCTTGTGTGCGAACTTGTTTGTTTGCTTGTGTGCTTGCTTGTTTGGCCGTTGGTTGGTGATAGCGACTGAATTGCGCAAGGTGTGCCTGTCAAGAAATTGACCGTTTGAGGAGGATCAAAGATGTTTTTGGGGACCAAGCGGGCAACACTCACGGCAAACTCCAGGTTTTCGTGCGGTGCTCAAACTCTTCCATTTGCAAGGAAGTTCAGAACCCTCACCTGTGTGGATAGGTGAAGTGGTTTACTGGCTGAAGTCTGAACCTTCCGTTAGGCTGTCATGCTTCAAGGCAACCACAGAGAGAGAGAGAGAGGGCGATAAGTAAAGAAAGAAAGAAAGAAAGAAAGAAAGAAAGAAAGAAAGAAAGAAAGAAAGAAAGGAACAACAGAAAATAAAAGACAAACACAAAATAAATAAAGAAACAATTGAATTCCGAAAGCCACGGGGTGAAAACCAGCACCAGTATTCCAATCGTCAGCCCGCAGGCCCAGCCACACTTTCGCCGCTGGCTCAGGTCTGTGGGCCTTTGCTTTAGCAAGAACATCATGGGTCACAGTCGCTTCATATGTTTTTGTTTGTGTGCCTTTAAAACTTTAAAAGGTGTATTAAGCATCAAGCAGGTTGGAATGTGAAACATGGTTTGCTGACTTTGGAGCTGCCATTGCGACAGGGGTGTTTGCAGAGCTTTGGCGAGTTCTCGTCACGAAGTGATTCCTGTTTCGTTCTTCGTGATGAGGCTCCAGCTCTTAAATATCATCACTCGCCTAAGACATGCCTGAACATAGTGGCGAGGCTTATCCCTAACTCCCCAACAGATTCTGAAATATAGGGGGTTAGGGTGACAGGATACGAAATGACGGAGGAATTCCCAAACAGCATATTAGTATAACTTAAAATATGTCTTACACATGTAATCTGTTTGCAGCTGACATGTTTGCAGCTGACATTAGATTGCCTTATTTACTTTTTGGTCATTCCTTCCCCCGTCCTGCTTGCTAGATACCTATGGACGGGGACAAGGAACGGAGAGAGTGATGTGGAAGGCATAGGACGGGATATAGAACGCACATGACAGTGAGCTGTCCACTTACCCATCATCGAATCCCTCCGGTCCTGCGTTCTCGCTGCTGGTAAGGATATGTGGAGAGGCGTCAAATTCCTCGCCATCAATTGGCTCGGGGAAATGGCGTGTTCGCTCCCCCATATCACCCTGTCCTCATCCATTCCAGTCAAGCCCCTATCTCATTTCGAATGCCAGGCTTGAAGGAGGGAATGAGATGAAGAACTGGAAATTGGCCAGTTAATAAGATCTCATAAAGAATCTGGCCACATTCCCATTATTGCCCCCATTCCTTCTCTATCTCTCGTCGAGGGAAGAGGCGAGAGGAAGGAATGGGAGAGGCTTGTCATTCCTCACTCTCTTCTCTCTATGTGGGACCTTATGGAAGAGAAAGAGGTTCCAAATCTCGCCCCAGATATAGAGATATGACATGAGTCGGAAGTGAGATACTGGGGGGGAAGCGACATGGCGGTGAACCGGTTCCCTTCGCCGTGTAATCCAGGAGGCGAACGGACATCTCTTTCCAGCTCCGTTCATTTGTACACTCTATAGGAAGTGGTACTGTACAGAGATGAAAGAATGGATTTTGAATGCGACCACATGATAAGTACCAATTGAGAAGGTAGATTGTGGCCGCCATGTCTCTCCACCTGCCAACTCCTAACCACTATCTCAATGGCGGTCGGAAGAGAGAAAGGGAGGGGATTGGAAATAGAGGCTTCTTCAGTCATAGCATTTCTCAGTGTCTATCCCATCCGATCCGCTCACTTTCGTTCTCCATTACCTTCCAGTTCAGAATCTATTTGTAAGGTGAAAGAAGGTGATGGAAGAGAGAACGACAATGAATGGACATGAGACTATAAGGGACACACCCAACTGTCAGACCAAATAAACCATTTGGGACTGGGAAGGTTTTCACCATGGCTGCTCCAAATATGAACTAAATCAAAAGGAACTTGGAATGGAGCCATGATCACCTGCCCTCTGTCTCTCTCACTCTTTCTCTTGTCTCCAGTTCACCTTATTGATCCTTGCATTTGGGACTGGAGGTGAAGAGTGAGAGAGGATGTCCTTCCTTCCCCAATCTATAAATTAAGCCGTGGAAACTGGGGAAGGAGAAGGACATCACCCATCTTTTTCTCTCATATCCACTCTCCACTAATTGGAGCCAGCAACCAGGATTGCCCAGGCGTCAGTGTTTGCCTCTCGAAACACACTCTCACGCAATCGGATACCTTGTGAGAAGTCAACAATGGCCGCAACGCGGTTTAGATTTGGTGTTTGACATCCCTTTGCTGTTCGGATCCCCACTGTCCCATATGCAGGTCGGTTTTCAGAAGTGAGATGCAAAAAGCACATATGCAAAGTTAGATCCATGCTCATTGAGACGGTTCATGGATGAATCCTGGAAGCAGCACGCTGTTCGCATGGACCCAAGACAAGAGCATGCAATTAGTGAAAACGCCAAAAAGTGGCAGTATCAATGAAACCAGCGGGAAGTTACAACTTTTGAGGGCGAAGCACGTTGCCTGCTCTTCCAGTTAAGCCTTGAAGCCTGACCAAGGCGGGCGGTAGCTTGGTGGCTGGGTAGCTGAGTCAGGGAAAGTGTGCGGGAACCGC